AACCCAAGTACGAATCAAGACCATAAGAAACCGAGAACCAAGTAAATCAAACAAAATCAAACAAGAAGAGTTATATGGCAGAGAGAGAACCAAGTAGTTTCATGAGCTTCACAGAGAATATCATATTCGAGAAACCCTAGGATGAATCGAGGTCAATGAAGGCAGAGAGTGAGAATGACAGATTAACTGGCCAGGTCAATTGCATTGAGGAAGATGAAGCTACCCTCGGTCAATAAGGAAAGAGAATAAGAGGATGAAGGAGATGATACGACTTGCTGAATATCTGTTGCGGCGGATGCGAGAAAGAGAAGAAGAGAAGAGACAAATAAAAATAAAGATTAAAACTTGTGTCCGTCGGATCTAATCTTATCAACGGTATATATTAAACGAAGCTGTGATCCTCACCTTTCCAAAATAGCCAATCAAAAGCCAGCGTTTTTATTTTCATTTTGAATGGTTAGCATTTCTGTTATTTTTTTTCCATCTGAAAAAAAAAAAAAAAAAATGCTAATCATTCAAAATGTTATTTTTTGTTTTTATTAGTAGATTAATTTTTTGATATGCGGTAAATTAAATATAAGACAAATTATATTTCCTAAAACAGTTTTCAAATCATTTTATGGTCAACTCCATTTGTAAGATAGTGATATTTTGCGTTAGAAATTTAGGGTTTAGGGTTTGTGTTTGTGGTTTAGAGTTTAGGATTTAGAAAATGATTTACTTATAAATTTTGAAACTTTATAACTTAAATCAAACACTAATTAATTCATAAAAATATATTATTTTTATATTGTTAATAAAACTAAAGAAATGTATCTCTAAATCATAAACTCTTATGACCTAAACCCCAAACCCTATACCCTAAACTCTAATTCAAAAACTCATTAACTTTCTATTTTATTTTCTTCATTGGGAATTAGAAAATATATTTTACAAGTGTCAATTTATATAACGTAAATTAAATATTCATTAATCCATAACAAATATTATAATTTTATTAACAATAAAATTAGAACCGTTATATTATAAATCCTACATTTTGAACCTCAAACCCTATCTATGCCCTAAACTCTAAATCATAAACTCATTAAATTTATTTTTACTTCATTTGAGAATTAGCATAAATATATTTTACAAGTGTGAATTTATATTCCCCACATTAAATATTCATTAATCGAAAATTAATTTTAATTTTATCGTAAAATTATATTTTCAATTCTATACCCCAAACCTCAAATCATATCTATTTCCTAACCTATTATAAGTCAAAAACTCACTAAATTTCCTTATTATTTTGTGTTTTGTTAATTTCTATTCTATTTTATTTTCTTTGTAAAAATGTTTTGTATTTTATTTTCTTCATTGGTATATACATATCAAAACTTGACTATTTTCTCGATTTCAAATGTAAATAGTCAAAGCAAAAAAAAACATGTCAATCCAATTTCAAACTACTTTCATCATTTGGTGGCTTGCGGTTTTTGATGTTCTTGGACAACATTCTCTTCTTGATACATTAACTTTCTCCTTTTTAGACCATACCCATTTGTACTGGTGGATTATGTTATACAGATATTGCCTTAATCCCAGCACATCTTGCTTGAAGTTGCTTTTGTTCACATCTGAGACTGAAAGATTCAGAAACCGAAACCGGATTAGATTGGCTTTTCTATCTGAGATTGAGACCAAAACACATTAACACAAGCTTAATGTTCAGAAACAAACAACGTCTCATAACAATTCAACTTGAGGCAGATAAGATGCTTACACATGGACGTGTGTGTGTGGTGATGTGATGTTCTCAACTTCAATGTTTTGCTAATGCTTTAGTGATGTGATCACTTAAGGGCTTTACGATTATCCCTGGAGATGAAACGTGTATTATGTCATCTAGTGTTTGGGAGCAAAAAGCTCACCTATGGTTGATTACTGAAACAAAAATATTTATCAAAGTCAAGAATAATACAAAGAAAGTGAACAAACAACAAAGCATGTAAGACCATTGGAGAAAATACCATAAACCTGGAATTCAACAAACTGATCTTTGACAAACCGTAACACAAGACTCAATTTCCCAGCCCCAACATCTTCAAGTAACACATGAAGGCTTAAACCAATTACAGAACAAAAATCAAAATAAGTAAGTAAAATACAAATGGTTGAATGCTTCTTAAGACCTTAAAAAAACATTCGTGAACTCCTACATTGGGATGCATCAAATAAAAAATATCATGATAGACCATTAACTAAACGAAACAAGAATGAACAACTGTATACATATTCTCCATGAAAACAGATTAAGCAAGAGAAACAGGACAAAATTTCTGGTCCGAACTAGTAAGTATTGAATCACTATACAACTCTATCACCAACAAAGCTCGTCAATGTCAAGATGGATCACTAAACCACCATAGGATTCAATATATTAAGAGATATACATTTAAAGTTATGTTCTTGACGAGCATAGAGTGATACCTGGTCACATCATTCTCTACAGACCCAACGATCCCTTTTTCATAGGCTCGGCGGTGCAGCTCCGGAGAACCACGACACCATCAAGCCAAACTACACAAATACACAATACCATCATAAAAAAACGATTCAACTCAGACAAACATCAATCGAAAAACCAACTTGAAAGTAGAACACTACCAATCATATCAAATGCCTTCAAGTACTGAAATTAAAATCTTCCTACAACAGAGCAAAACAGACCGATTCAAATCCTTTGCGTGTCCTAGGAATTACCGGCGGTGTGGGGACTACGGCAGCGATGAAATCAGCGGTGAAGATGCTACGGCCGTGACAAAAGTAGAAGATAGAGCTCTCCTCCGTGTGACGAGAACGTATAAAAACGGGAAAGACAGAGTCAAATCCTCATCTTCCTCCAAGATTTCAAACCCGGCTCTCATAGCCAGATGTCGCTTTTATACGAAAGAGGATCTGCTCGAGCACATAAAGGAGGCACGAAGGAATTGGTTTTCCAATCGAGTTTTAGAGAGAACGGAGAGAGAACGGAGAGAGAACGGAGAGACAAGAGAGAGCCAAAAAATTTTAGATCTGGTTTCAATCTAAATAATTTCTTTTCTATATCATGTTTTTCTCAATTTTTTTTTCTTTTGTTACTTACTAAAATTTTAGATCCAAATTTTTTTTTTTTTGGAGCCAATAAATTTTTAGTTTCCCGGTTATACCTACGATGACGTTTTTAGTGTCACATATGCTATTATAAAACCAAAAATTAAGCGCCACTACGAATTGATTTCGCGCCTATTTTTCCGTAGCGTTTGTCTTTTCGAAAACGCTATGTAAATTTTCTCAAAACTCAACTATAGCAGAAATATTAAAAACGCTATACTGTACTGCTATTAATACACTCATTTCCTGTAGTGGCTATAGCTCTTGCAAGATAGACTCCAACCGAAGACTGCTCTTGAGACAAGCTTATTTGTCTCTGGGAATGCATTTCCACAACGTTTTTGACCTCAATGAGATACTTTTCATACCTTTCATCAATGTGCTTCTTCAATTCAACAAATTTCTTGTCACAACACAAACCCTTGCCATAAATCACCTTATGGAACGGAGATCTCATCTTGGGCAATATCGTGAAAACAAATTTTTTTTTTTTCTGTTTTTAATTTGTAAATTTATATTCTTTAATTTTTTCTTACTTTGAATTGTCAAGGCTATTGAAAAGTTCGGATGTTTGAGAGTTTTAAATTATAACGTAACATTAACATTGTTCTTATTTTTCTAATCATTTTTATAGCTCCAACAATAAAATCTTAAACTCAAAACTGAAGAAAATATCTTTTTTTTTGAATAAAATGTAAAATTTATTCGAAAAAAAATCTTAAACTCAAAGCTAAAGAAGAGATCAAATCTATCTATACTAGTATTTTTGAAACACTTTGGTGACGGGTGGGTAAAAATTCTTCTGGGTTAATCGGATATCCGACCCGTTTTTTAAATTCCTTCACAAAAAAATTTGTTGGGTCGGGTAATATTTAACCCAACTTATACACCGGATATTTCATATTTAATAATTTAGATATTTAGAAGATTTGATTAAGATTTAGAATTATGATTCTCCTATCATCTTTGTTTGATTTGTTTTTAACTGTTTTGAATCATCATATAATACATAAAGTAAAAAAAAAAATCAATTTTTCTGCATATACTGTGATTCAAAATTTTTAAAACGGACATATATCAAAGAAGGACGAATTTGAATCAATATTTATATACCGCTTTAATACGGGTTAAATCCTCAATTTATTAATAATTGTCTCGTGGACTCGTGGTATACCGTTACTTAATAACAATTGTAAACTATAATATAAATAAATATGTTATAACGAGATACAATTTACAAAATATTTTTATACTAACTTTAAAATTAAATCATCCCGCGGTGTATCGCGGGTTAAAATCTAGTCATATATTATTTTTGCAACTGTATAGTTAAAACAGTTTCCCCTTAACATAAATAGATGAAAAAAACAAACTTGCTTGGTTCAAATACAATTTCTTTGGTTAACTCATGTTTCAGATACAAATTCAATCCAAAGTGAAATTGATTACTCATACCAATTCATTGGTTTAGCGATTAGGAAGCACCAAGTTATGGTAGGCGTGAGTGTAGGAGATAACTATCCCCTGGCTTCTTCCTTTTGCAAATACACTCATTAGCTTCCACAACAAGTAATTTTTCCATTGAAGTCTGTGAATAGCTTAGATCGAAAGCGATACTACAAAATCTGAGACAAGTCAAAAATCTGTTCTTTAAGGTTTTAAGCTCAGCGATTTAGGTCAAAATGTGCTCTTTCTCGTTGTGAGTCATAAAAATCAAGTGAAGATTTTGCTCTGGTAAGCTAATCAAGCTCTCTGCTTTGGAATTTTCTTTCGTTTTCTTCCACATTTTCCCGAGAAAATAAAAGCTTTAGCCTTTTTTTTTCCTCTTTGTTCTCGGGTCAAGTTTCTAGCGAAACATGATCAAACTCTTCTTAGGAATGTCTGATTTTGTGTGTGTCTTCACGATCTTCGTCTTCTTCTCTATTTTCTCGAGAAAAGCTAAGAACTTTGTTTCAATTTCAGGGTTTACAAGGAGAGAAATTTCATCTTGTCGGCGAAATCTCAAAGTGGTTTTAAGGTTTTGCCCAAATGTCTCAGAGACTTCATGTTTGCAAAAAATGTGGAAAAAAGTTTGCAACTTTAAAAGGTGTCTATGGTCATCAGAGGATTCATTCTGGTAATTACAATAGAATCGAAGATGATAATGGTTTGCAAAAGATTTGGGGTCTTAAGAAGTCTAGGGTTTGCTCTGTTTCAGCTTCTTTTATGACTGAGATTGAGAAACATGAGGTGATTGAAGCTGCAATGAACTTGGTTATGTTGTCTCGACGAGTTTATGACTTTGGTTCTATCAGAAATTTGCCTCTGGGTGATGATTTCATGGATTTAGAGCTTAAACCTAGTCCTTTGAGAAGTAAATTGCAGAAAAAAACTCAGTCCAGCTATAAATGTCGTATATGTGACAAGAGTTTTGTGTGTGCTCAAGCTCTTGGTAGCCACCAGAGACTTCACAGATCGATGAAAGGACATTTAGTGCGTAAAAGGGAGTACATTGAAGAAGATGGTTCACTGTTAGACTCATCAGAAGCTAATATGATTGTTTCACAACCATCATGCGTTGAAGTGTCTCAGGAGAAGATCTTACATTGTGCTGAGTCCAAACTAGATGACTTCAGCGAACAGCTTGCTCACTCGGATTTCAACAAGTCTAGTAGTTGCAGTAAAACCAGGTTCAGTGCATTACATTCTCCTATGAGAAGTAAATCTCACTTCAGCTATAGATTCAAAATATGTGGCAAAAGTTTTGGGTGTTCTCAAGTTCTAGGTGGTCACCAAACACTTCACAGATCGATTAGAGGACAATTAGCGTGTAAAGATGATAATTCGCTGTCTGACTCATTAGAAGCTAAGAACATTGTTACACAACGATCAAGCTTTGAACTTTCTCAAAAGGAGAAGATCTTACAACGTGTTGAGCCGAAACTAGAGTTCCACGAACGGCTTACTCACTCGGGTTTCGACAAGTCTAATACTGGCAGTAAAACCAGGTTCAGTGCAGTACCTTCTCCTCTAAAAGCTAAGAAGATTGTTTCACTTTCACAACCATCAAGCTTTGAAGCCTCCGTGGATGAAAAGTTCTTACATCGTTTTGAGCAGAAACTAGACTTCAGCAAACAACTTGCTCACTCGGGTTTCGACAATTCTAGTAGTTGCAGAAAAACCAAGTTCAGTGCATTACATTCTCCTCTGAAAAGTAAATCTCACTCCAGCTATAGATTCAAAATATGTGGCAAGAGATTTGTGTGTTCTCAAGCTCTAGATAGTCACCAAACAACTTCACAGTTAGCGAGTGAAAAGTTAAACACTGAAGATGATAATTCATTGTGTGGCATGAATGACTCAGAAGCTAGCAAGTTTGTTTCACAACCATCAAGCTACAAGTCTCAGGGGATATAAAATGTCAGTGCTTTGATGTTTCCAAGTCTTACCAAAGGTTTTGAGGTTCACATAATACCAAATTACTACAGAGAAAGGATAGATATGTGTTCATCTATATAGAATCTTCAGATTAGTTGAACAATAAGGGATGTGCTAGATATAACTGGAGATAGAAACTTTAGAATGGATTTGATTTGCAGATGTGTATAGTTGTTGTGACATTTTTTCTCTATATTTTCTACATTTTTTTGTAGTACTATAGACATGAAATAGAAGAAAAACCAGGTTTTGTTAGTCTGAGACTATCATCCTCGAGCTCTGTCTCAATTCTTTGTTTCAAATACCACTTCTTCTTCTTCAAGATTGCATGTTCCATCTTCTTATCTGAGATACAGAATCAATCAGCCTAATTAATCCAAAGCGAAATTGATTATTTATTGGTCCAATGAACCCAAAAGGACAGATTTTTCGATCGAACCGGTCTGACCGGTCTGGTCTTTTGTCCGGTTTTAATATAATTTGTTCAAAATTCCCTTTTTGATCCTCTTGGAAATGAAAAAAGCAATACAAGATCAAAACTTTTATGATTTTATGATTTAATTTTCCATGGATTACAACAGCCAGTGGCAACAACCGTCGGTGCCGGCAATGCAGCCACCGGAAATGAATCAGTCGACGGCGGTTGATGCGTATTACGCTTCATATTGTGCTTACTACGCCAATCCAGACCCTAATTTTAACTCTGATCTCCAAACACATGAATCATTAGCTATTGCACTTCCACCACCGCCTGGTGTTGTGGATACGACGCCGTATTACAGTTTGGATACAAATGCTCAGAACTTGGCTTGGCAAGAGTCTGTTCGTATGAATGGCACCGACCCTCTTGCGATTACAGGACCTGTATGTTTGTTTGTTTCTCTTCTTTTCACAATTCATTAGGATCTGTAGATAAAGTCAGGTCCTTTGCAACAAGCTCTTGATTCTGTGATTGCTCTGTTTTGCTCGAATGTCAACGTTTGCACAAATTTGATATCAATGAGGTCAAGGTGATGTCTTTGGTGAATGTCTTAGTGATTCATTATGATCTGTGGATAAAGTCAGGTTCTTTGCAACAAGTTCTTGATTCATTAGTGAATTTCAGTTTACTCTGTGATTGCTCTGTTTTGGTCTCTTGAGATTCTTGTTTGTACAATTGATCTTGTTTGCTTCTCTTGGTGTGGAAAGGATATGTTTATGCTTCAAACTTGCATGTAAATAGGTCACAAAACTACAAGTTCGAGGATCTCAAGATATCGTTTCGAGTATTTATTATTGTTTATGCAGTATTTACTATCTTCCTGGTGTGCTCAATTTGACATTTGCTTGTATTTTTGTAATTGAGGATGAATCAGGATGCTACAAGACAGTCTCATAGCTTATACCCGCCAGGTGCGGGTTTCTCTTGGACCGGCCACATAGTTCAAGCGCAACTTCCTGGATTGAAGGAACCGTCAAAGAAAGCAAAGGTTGTTCGATCTGCTTACTGTGAAGTTTGTAAAGTTGACTGTAATGGTCCGAGTGTATTCGAGCAACATATATTGGGGAAGAAACACCTGAAGAACTTGGAGAAGTTGAAAACATGTTTACTGTCGTCAAACACAGATTCTTCTTTGCCTGGGCCAACCGTTGCGATCCCTTTAATAGGACCACAAGAAAATCCGAGTAAAAGCAAGGCTAGGAAGAAAAGTGCGGAATCAATAACAGAAGATCTAGAAACAAAGAGACGGAGAGTCGTGGAATGTGGGGTATCAAATGAGTCGATTAGACTGTGTAGAATATGCAACGTAGTTTGTAATAGCGACACGGTTTACAATGATCATTTGGCCGGTCAGAAGCACGCCACTAAGGCAGCGAAGGCCCCTGTAAATACCTAGACTCTTGGATCTTATTTCTAACATTCATTGTATTGCATCATTACATGATTTCCTTATTACCTTGATTACACTAAAAACATGGGACATACAAAATAATTCTTAAGGTAGACTGGTCTCAAGGCTCATGGAAGTTCGACTTGCTTAATATTCCAAATGTCTTTGGCGTATTCATGGATCGTCCGGTCACTGCTAAACTTGAATGAACCTGCGGTGTTCAAGATTGACATTCTCGTCCATCTCTGTAATCAATTACCAGCAATTTCAAGGTTGGATCTTTGAGTATATTTGAGTCAACATTAGCTTGATGTTCAAAGAAAATGCATCACTACTTACTTTTTGGTCCCGGTATGCCTCGTCGACTTTTTCTTGGCATTCAATGTAACTAGGAAAGTCTTTGCCAACGAGGAAGTAATCCGCTCGACCAAAGCCTTCATTTCCTTCCAAAGAGCCAATTAGTTCATCATAGCTGTTTGAGCCAAAGACACCGCTTCTAACGAACTTCTTGACTTCTTCAAAAGTAGGATCTGGAACAAACTGGAATGCGAAGAGCAAACAGGTCAAAAATCAAGTTCTGTTTGATGTTAAAACAGAAGCATGGCAAGGTTAACTCTTCAAATCGTATACCTTTCCCTCTGCTCTCTCCTTTCTGAGGTTCACAATCTCATCAGCTTTGGCACCAAAGAGGAAGAAATTTTCTTCTCCTACTTCTTCTCTAATCTCGACATTAGCCCCATCCAAGGTTCCAATCAAAACGCAACCGTTCATCGAAAATTTCATGTTGCTTGTCCCACTAGCTTCCATCCCAGCGGTACTGCAGAGAGAACTCTTAAATCTTCAGAAAATAGCAGAGTACCATTGATTATAACTTTTTCTAAATGTTACTGAAACATATTGTTCCTCATGTCAGGATTTGTTTCTAAAATTCTTATGAATAACAGAGAAATCAGTCCAGTTCCTGGTTTACCACTTATCTCAATTTCAGTAATTTAGTCTCATGGAGTTGTGACAAAATATTATAAAGTGACTAAGCTAAAGAAAAAATGTTACCTGATGTGCTGAGAAAGCTCACTTGCTGGAATGAGCAATTCGGCAACACTGACATTGTAATCAGGAACAAAGATAACCTACAAGGTAGTTGACACTTCTAATTAGTAAATGCCAATTTCCACAGATGCTATTATTACAGGTTGTCTGCTCTACGCTTGAGTGTACCACTAATACAAGCACATACCTTAAGCAGGTCACCTATTTCCGGATCATGGTTAATTGTAGATGCAACTTCTGTGATGAATTTCACAATCCTCTTAGCTTGCACATATGTGGCGAATGCTTTTCCTCCAAATATGCAAACTCTTGGAACATATGCCTTCTCCCTCTCACTGGCACTCATTTCCTTCATCTTTTTGTAGCGGTAAACAATTCCCAAGATATTAAGCAGTTGTCGCTTGTACTCGTGGATACGCTTGATCTGCAAATAGTTTTCAATGCAAAAAGAAATAATTTACGATTTGATAAGATGATACTGAGCTTCTCAGACTTGCGTAATGAACTTCTCAAACCAAAAAGCAGCATCCAAGCAAACAACTCATCAATCTAATAGTAGACAAGATCCTCTGGAATAGACCTGAATGTCGAACATTGCATCCGGGCTGACAGTATATCCAGTTCTTTCCTTGATAAGTGCTACAACCTTTAACTTGTTCTTCTTCTTTGCTGCCCTCCACTCGGATTGAAGATCTTCATTATCTGCAAACTGGAGAAAGACCAAAAAAAGGTAACCAGTGTGTCTTACTTTAAAGATAACAGCATTGAATCTGATAAAGCACATACCTTTCTTAGCTCCACAAGCTTTTCAGTATTTAAGACCCAATCTTCTGTGCCTATCCAGTTAGTTATAATATCACTTAGATATGGATTACAAAAACGAATCCATCTCCTTGGTGTTACTCCATTGGTTTTGTTCTGAAATTTTTCCGGCCACAACTGCAAAAAAGATAGAATATTCAACGATGAGAGTCGTGTCTTCCCGGTAGAGCATTGTATAGCATTATGCTTCACTAGTTAGATTGTTTACCTGAACGAAATCGTGAAACACATCCTGCTTCACTATTTCACTATGTATCTCTGCAACCCCATTTACAGCATGACCACCCACAACAGCAAGGTTGGCCATACGGACCATCTTTGGTGGTTTTACTGTTGGTTCTGGGATAACTTCCTCTTCCTCGCCAGAAAGTTTTCCCTCTTCTTGTTCCGTTTTCACGCCATTTTGAGCATCTTTTGCACTAACTGGTTTGCTCTCCGGCTTCACGATCACATCTGCAAAGGCAGAAGGCAACTCAACGTTTTCTAAGATCCTCATTGCCTTCAGTTTCTCTTCGAGTATGTTAGGATCCGCAGTGCCATACTCAGAGACAATAGTGCGAACTAGCTGCAATATATGAAAGTGAAAATTAGATCAGATATGGAAAAAACTAAAAGAGACATTGGATGTTTTCAAGGGGTTACCTCCTCATCAATCTTTTCTATAATCTCTACATGACGAGGAAGCAATTTCTCCATAAGTTCTAAACTCCACTTCTCTAGTGCCTCAGGCAAGACTGTATGGTTTGTGTATGCCACGGTCCTAGAAACATTATTAACTTTTCAGAAACACGTTGCAGGCTTTTTAAACTTGTAAGCAAAGAACAAGAGACTATATAGGGCCAAAAAGACAAGTAGTTCAGTCAATTTGAGAAATACCTTTGTGTAATTTTCCAAGCATCCTCCCAGCTTAGTCCTTTCAAATCCATAAGAATCCTCATTAGCTCAGGTATGCATAGAGTAGGGTGAGTGTCATTCATCTGCACTGCAACCTTCTCTGGGAATTCTTCCCAGTTAACATTTCCTCCAGACCTTGTCTCAAAACGTGCTATGATATCTTGTAGCGAGGCTGAACACAGAGTGTATTGTTGCTTCAGACGAAGAGTCTTTCCTTCAAGTGACTCATCTCCGGGGTAAAGCACGAAACAAATCTAATTCCATTAAGAGGGAATGGAAGAAAACACTTTTCAGTATATACACATCAAAAGCTCGTTGTTAAATAAATAAGCACAAGTGACGCAAGACTAATCTTCCTGTGATAACATATTCATTTCTGTTAGTTATCACTCAATTTGTAAGATATATGCACTATTCCGATTACCAGAAGGATCTTGTAAATAGATCATGGTCAAAAAAACAAAAATTTGAAAACAACTTTAAATGAAACTTAATGCATCTTCCAACAGACTTAAACTTAATGAAGATACAAACCTTTTCAGCATTGAATAGAGCTTCTGCTGCCTCAGTATGTTTCCCAGAGTTATATGATGATAAATCAAAATCTTCGGAAGGAGCTTTTGTTGACCAGAGTCGTAGATTGATAGTAGTTTTAGTTTTATAACCAGGTATAGGAACATCATAAGCAACAGCAACTATGTCTTCTCCACCAATCCACCGTTTCTTACCATCTGATCCAAAAACCACTTTTCCATAGAACTTAATAGGATATGAAACATCATTTCTGACTATTTCCCAAGGATTGCTTAGCTGAAAGAAACAGGTAAGCCAATAAACATACCCACTGCTCAGCATTGCTACAAGAGAGTACAATTTAGGATATATTGTTCAATAGCAAACACTGTATGAGAAAAAGAATAAGAGAAGAAGACCTCAAGCCAATCTTCTGCAGCTTCTTCCTGTCCATCTTTTGTGATTCTTTGTTTGAACAAGCCATACTTGTATCTAAGTCCATAACCCCAAGCGGGATAATTTAAAGTTGCCATTGAATCCAAAAAGCACGACGCAAGTCTCCCGAGTCCACCATTCCCAAGTGCAGGATCTGGCTCCTACAAAATGGAAGCGAAGAATTTAGCATCTCAGTACATATAAAGAAGATAATAAAACCAAGCAACATAATCGCAAAGATGACTAGCTACACTTTCCAAATCAATCTTTGACGAGATCAATGTATAATAATCAACATGGTTAAAAGCTCACCTGACTAGCAACACTTTCCAAATCAAAACCAAGCCTCTTCAAAGCGTCACCATAAGCGCTATTAAGCCCAAGATTACCCACTGCATTCGATAAGGCTCTACCCTACAATGTGCAAATAGTCAGATAACAAACAAGAACAAGATCACTGAGAGTCAAAACACAAAGAAAAGAATAAGTCAAAAGCAAAACCTGCAAAAACTCCATTGACAAATAATACGCCTGTTTCACATTCACCCTATTGTAATACTCATAAGTTGCATTCCAATTCCTGATCAAAGCGTCTCTAACACTCTGCGCAGTCGCGAAAAACGCCTTTGGCAACTCAAACTTCTCCGGCGAAAACAGAGGCGTAAACTCAGCATGGTACTTGATACTCGAAGCTACCGAAGCAGCATCTGGAGCAAACGGACTCATCGAGCTAATAAACACTTCTGAAATCAAACAACACAAAAAGCAAAATCGCAATCAAATTTTCAAACAGGAACGATCTAGAATACGAATCAGTAACTTCACATACCACAACATTCACTACAATCTCCAAATTCCATACCCTAATTACTAAAAAAGCAAGTATTTGAATGAGACCTTGTTCGGAATCGAGAACTGCATCGGTGACTTTGGCCTTTGGTTCGCTAGAGACAGATTTCACCGATAAAAACGACCTTCTCGTCGGCGATGGACGCCAGTTTCTGCTTCTCGCCGGAAACATTCTTGTTCTCAATCTTCCGTCATCGCAACGACGAGAAACGAGGCTAGATAAAGAATTGCATTGTACTAAAATCTCAGCTCCGGTGGATACACCGGAGATTCGCATCGTATCCATGAATCTCTCTGAGCTAATGATGGAGTAGAGAACAATGAAGAGCTTCAAGCTATTTTCAGTTTCACGAGGCAATATCTTATCAGTGAGAGTCAGTTATAAGTGATCTGTGATTGATTATGCCACGTGACGTTGATATCCACGTGTCATGGTTTTATTGGATGTTGGAAGTGTACTATCCGTGACAGATCACCTTTTCTCAGTGGGTTTCAGAGGAGGAGATATTTCTGGGAGAAAGCGACAAGGCAAGTAATGTACACCGTACACGTGTAAGGTCTCTTCATCGTCAATTTAGTGACTTCCTTTTGCTAATACTCAATAGTTTAGTCCTCACTGGTGAAAGTTTAGAATATTACTTGTATAGTTGTATTGAACGATTGATCGTAGAGTTGTTTGCTAAAATATGCCAAAACTTTGAGGTTTATTTGCAAAATGACATGATAGCAAATGGATCCGATCTAAACCAAAATACTAAATCCGAAAACTTAACTATATTTTAATATAGTTTGAATGGATTCATATTTTTATATCCGAGAAACTAAATCCGAATTCGAACCAAACCAGAAAACATCTGATTTAATACCAAAGTTGTTATGTAAATTAAAGATTTATTTGACTAAAACCCGATTTGAAGCGAAGCCAAAACTGTACCAAACCATCCATTCTAAATAATTTTACGTTTAGTTTGGATAACATTATTCGTAAACCACAAATTCGAAAAAGTATTAAAACCAAACTGAATTTGAGATGAAACAGGGAAATTTTGAGTGTGATTTTTTATAAATAACATACAATTTCCGATTGTTTCAAATAAATATAATGTTATTTTTTGGCTCAAAAAATATCATGTTAAGACAAGTCTAGTAAAGAATGTGGGCAAGACAAGCGCCACTCAGTTGATGAGTCTCTCAATAGTGATGTTAAAACGGGCAGTCCAGACCCGTTTAGACCCAGCTCGTTTAAATCCGGTCTGTTTAGATCCTGCCCGTTTAGATTTGAAGCCGGTTTAAATTACTTCAGCTCGTTAGAGCCGTTTAAACCCGTTTAAGTTATAAGTAGCCTTTTTGGGATAAACATGTGATTTTTTTGGTGTCTTTAGGTGTTTTGGATCAATCAGAAGTTTCAAGAGAATAAAATGTTATAAAAATCAACCAAAATGAAAACGTATAGCTTGGGTCAAAATTCATTTTTTAAAACCACTCTTGAATTTTTGGTGTTCTTTAGGTGTTTTTCTGTCCCAACTGATACAAAACCATTCCAAACCGTTGAAGTTAAGCGTCTTTTCCGTGGAGCTTGAGTTGCTTGAGTGTCACTTTGCTCTGGTTCTTCAATTTCTGTTTCTCCCTCATTCATATCAATACATTTGACTCTGACCATTGAGCATTTCTAGTGTATATTGAGACTCTAATTAAATCCATTCTGCAAAATTACCAAGTCATGAGAAAGAACAAGAGGTCAACGTCAAGTCCTAAACCAAGAAGAACATAAACAAAAAGTGACATTCACATTCAACACTAGAAGCTAAGATACTTGTTATGAAACAATCAAATTAATAGAGATTGCAAAGAAAAATCAAAACGAATCATTGAACATATAAAACAAAAGCAAAAATCAGTAGCATAAACGTAATGAAGGATGGAAGATACAATCAAATCAGCACCGTCCATTTCATATTAGAGATTTAAAACAAATCAGCACCGTCCATTTATTTCCCATGATACTTCTTTCTTACTTGGCCGCAACACCCAACTACATCACATTCTTTCTATTACCATTTACATAAAAGGAGATTCGTATCTCAAAACTTCTTGGAGAGACATACCAAAAAACATAAACTCCAATCGCAACATTTTCGCGTTTTTGGATGGGGAAGAAGCGGTTTAGTATTGCGGTGGCGGTTACATTCTTATCCTTGGTTCATATCGTTGTCTCAGTTCCATTCATAATGCTTCATGGAATTTCAGCTGAATGTTCTGATCATACAAATTCTAACTTCCCAAGGCTTCTCTCTAACCTCTCCGGCTCTCGTGGCTTTTGCGTGTAATTTTTACTATTTAAGACATCTATAGTACTGGCCATTCCAACCATGTTTGGTTTGATCCTAACTCGTTTTTTCTTTATGAATCCAGAGAAATTGGAAATGGAAAAAGCGATTCATGGCTTATGCCACTTACAAAGCAAGTAGAAATCGTGTGTGACAAGGTGAAGCAAATGAAAGAGTTACGTCTAGGATACAACATTGTTGCAAGATCTCAGATACTTTCTTGCAAACTAAAAACAAACAAAACTGCGGTTATTTTTATCGTTACCGTTTCATATTTCATGGATAATGGAACAAACAGGGGAACTTAGTAGCACGCGGGTTGATCGAGTTTTGCGATGATGGGCCTCCGGTTTACAACTATGTATCTTTAGCCGGTCCTCATGCTGGAGAATCCTCTGTTCCTTTTTGTGGTGTAAGCTCTTTTTAATCTCATATAATCTCTAATCTTCTTATAGTATTTCATTTCAATTCAATCAATAACAGTTACAACAATGTCTTTCTCTGTTTTTGCATAAAGTGTTATGAATGGTGTGATATAGCAGATAAATTGATGGAGAAAAATATCTATTCCGACTTTGTTCAAGTATCACTCTCTCTACCTCGCTATCTCTAACATGATTATGAATTTTACTTAATCAAGGAGTAGTAATTAACATCTTCAATGATTATGCAGGATCATTTAGCTCCTAGTGGTTATATCAAAATCCCTACTGTATGTTTATTCACCATGCATAGATATAGTTGAGAAGAATCATATTACAGTAATTAGTTTTTAAAAAGAATCTTTGTTTTTGGTTTCACAGGATATCCCAGAGTATATGAAAAGTTCTAAGTATCTACCAAAGCTTAACAATGAGATACCAAACGAAAGAAACTCAACTTACAAAGAGCGTTTCACGCGCTTAAAGAACTTGGTTCTGATTATGTTTCAGAATGATACGGTTATTGTTCCCAAAGAATCATCTTGGTTCGGTTTTTACCAGGATGGTAATTATACATCTCAACCTCCTCTTCTCTCCGCTCAACAGACAAAGCTCTATACAGAAGATTGGATCGGTTTGAAAACATTGGATGTTGCTGGAAAAGTGAAGTTTGTGAGTCTACCTGGCGGACACCTCCAAATAGCAACTACCGATGTTATCAAATACGTCGTGCCATATCTACAAAACCAACCATCTTGATCCATACAAAACGAAGGAATCTTTGCGTCTTTAAAAAGAGCAGATACCTCATTTGTTATATGCTTATTTATGCAACAGTGACCGATGATTGTGTAGAACAAGGATCCATATTCATATAAAGAAACTTACATACCTATCTGAATTATCCAAGTAAACAGTATCATCTCAAGTAAGAGCCAGGAAAGTAGACCTTACTTTCCCTGAATCAAATACTAGAAAGGCTTGGAGGAACTCCGCTTGCTCATCGTTGTCAAGACTGGACTAGCACTCATGATTTGATTGTCCAATCCTAGAATGAAGACCAGAGACCGCAAAAACAATATTCTGTGTGACAATATCTCCTTTAGTAGCATCATTGTTTTTGTTGACTCTGCTGCGGCGCATCTTCATCTTTAAACTGGACGCAATGAGAAGCAGCTACCATGAAAAGGCTACTTGGCTTACCAAGAAGAGAATCATCTACTATACTGTTTTCGGAGACTCTTGTAAGAAAAATGAGCATAATAACAAAATCACATTGCCGCCAAAATCCAAGAACAATCCTTGATGTTTCTTACCGATATGACCATATAATGTTTTGTACAGATAACATAAGTAAAAAGAATCGATTGATGCAACTTCATGAAACAAAAACAAAAACATAACCTTTTTATTGAGTTTTAAGGAGAGGTACAAGAACAATAACAAGATTACACTCCAATTGATCCCCTTAATCAAGCTGATCTCTACAGGCAACTGAGAAAGCCATCACCCACAGAATAGCATTTTATCTATTACGAAAAGACTCGACTCGAAAATGGCATAGACTAGAGAGTACAGATAAACAGAAACAGAATGAGCAAACCAAGAAAACACTCACAATGCAGTTATGTTACAATTTCTAAAACTAAAAAAGGTTATCTTATTGGGTTCACAGAACATACCAAAATGCAGTTTTTTGGACTTAAACTAGTCTAGTCATAAACAAAGAACTTTGGAAGACTTTGATTCTTTCATGACCCATTGGTCAAGGCTCCATTTTTAGTGGCAATGGAGGAGAGAACATTAAGCTTCCTTTTTCAAGCTGGATTTCCCTCTCGTGTTTGTTACTTCCTTGGTGGTTCGCATTTCTTGTAACTCCTGTCTTCCCTTCACTGCCCTCTGAAGAAGAAACTTCATTTTCAGAATCAGTTTCTTCTTCTTCTTCATCTTCAAAGCTCTCGTTTTCCTTGGGAACGTATTTGATTTCCTCAACCTCATTCGCATTCCCTTTCTCTTCTCCATTTCCATCGTTTGACCCGCTTGTTGAGTCATCTTCCTCATTTATGCTTGACTCTGGTGTATAGTTATATACATTCCCATTCTCATCAAAGCTCACAGTTTTCACCACACGGTTTGTTTTCCCTCCACTTCCTTTCACCAAAACCCTGTTCCCTAATTTCGAACTATGCCTCTTTCCATCATCCCTGGACATCACGAGTGTTTCCTCCCCATCATCAACTGAATCCTCCTCTGCACTAGACGTTAAGTCATCTGAATCTCCAAAAACCTTACATACATTCCCATTCTCATCAAAGCTCACAGTTTTCACCACCCGGGTTGTCTTCCCTCCACTTCCTTTCACCAAAACCCCGTTCCTAGTTTTTAAACTCTGCCTCCTTCCATTATTCCTGGACATCACGAGGATTTCCTCGTCACCATCCACTGAATCATCCTCGGCACTCGAAGTTAGATCATGCCTATTTCCATATACCTGACACACATTCCTGTCCTTGTCTAATACAACAAATTTCCTAACCGGAGGCTTCACTACATTGCCTTTTATTACATCCCCAGTTCTAGACTTAGAGCTAGTAACCTTTCTCTTATCACTAGAACTCATTGGAGCTTCTTCACTATCATCAGTCATGTCTGCATTGTTATCTTCATCCTCATTAGAAGTAACAAAATTGTTTCCCACTCGGTTCCTCGATTTCTCGATTGTTCTGTCTTCTGCTACACCAAAACCCTGAGGCTTTTTGCCATTAACTTTGCTGCGTCTACTCACACTTATTACAGACTTAGCAACAAATTCACACCTTTTAACAGCACAATCATCAACATACTGCAAAAACTTCACCAAATCTTGGCTCAATGATCTCTTACTACTTCTTATCATTGGATCAATCCTACCCTAATAGAGAAAAAAAGATACCAAACTTCAAATCTAGAAAACTAAAAAGACAGAACTTTCGAAGGATTCACAAAGGGTTTAAATACCTGAATTGAATCCAGTTGAAGAAGCAAGTCAGTAGCTTTTCGAGACACAACCTTGAAAGGGAAAATGGGTTTCCCTGAAACCGAAGATTTGAGAGACAAGAAGCTAGATTTTATCATTGCAAGCTCCTTGAGTTGTCTAAAGGATATGGATCTGTGAACAAGGTAAGAGCGGAAATGGGTTTGAATAACACGCGCCGCCGTATCTCTTAGTGTAGAGTGTCGATCTCGACGTTGCTCATAGGAAGCTGAAAACTTGTTGAGTGACGATTCAAGATCATTGATTTTGCGGAGGAGACAAGACATAACAACTTGGTCGTATTCTCGTGGAACATTCTTTTGCTGACGCAAAACACGGTGCTGACTTCTAATAACATTGAAGTTTTGACACGAAGTTTCGCATGAACATTGAGTTTCTTGTTGATGATTTTGAAGGTAAGTTGCGAGAAGATGGAGAAGATTATCCTCCGGCGGCGGCGGCGGAGAAGGGTGGTTGATTTGGGTGCAGCAGTGTGTTGATGTGGCGACTAGAGGGATGTTATTGTGGTGGTTTTGGTGGCGTGAGCACCCGTTGTTGTTGTGATGGTGGTGGTGGTGAGAAGCCATGGAATCGACGGCGGAGTCTGCTATTAGATCGAATGTAGTATTAAATGGCTTTTGACCAAATCGGTCCTGTGAATAAGAAACTTCTTTAGAAGAAGAAGACAGAGAAACGTCACGTAGTGCTCATTATTTCGTACGATCCGGCACGCATTTCGTCTTATTGACTGGTCAAAACAAACCGGATGGGTTCTCTGCACGAGGGTTATAAACTGCTATGGTCGAAGCAAACCGGATGGGTTCTGCACGAGGGTAATAAATTACAAAATTCATAATATTTTTTTTCTTTTTATCAACCGCTTTAATTATTGTTGCTAAAAAGAATTTAAGGAATGTCATTTACAAAAGTGATATGATGCGGTTCGATACGAACTCTTCGTGTCAAATTATCCTCTTTAGTATTTGCACTTTGAAGAATTAAAAAAAGAAAGAAATTTGAAAATTCTTCCTTGTTGATCTGGATCTTCTTCAAATACAATGAAAAGGCTGGCTATTCGGTTGGAGAAGACACAATTTTCACCAAATCTGAACAATATGTATAAAAAGCTACGTCTTGATTATCGACTCCAATCATACACTTCATCGCCCAGACAAAAGCTTCAATTTCTGTATGGAATGGAGTAAGGCTTCTACGAACGTTGATAGCTCTCATGGTTGGCGCGTCTCCGTTTGATGACGTACAATACCACCTTAAACCTGAAAACTTATCATTTTCTTTCCATGAACTATCAACCAAACAACGATGTCCAGAATACAATGCATCATGTGGAAAATGTCTCTCACAGGTGTGGGTTTCCGAATTTAAAGACCCATGAGTTTCAGTATGAAGCTCGGCTTAAGCTAACTGCCACGATTGTGTCTCAGTTTCCACTAAGCGCAATACCTCTAATGAATCATTATCCACGTTCTCGTACAATTTATCAATCCTTGCTTTCCAGATATACCAAATTATCCATGGGAACGAGGATGATGCACATCTACGTAAGGAGTGGTGTGTGGAGATTTTGTGACAACAAGGAGTGGAGATTTGTTGATGATGAAAAAAATCGTGGGAGATTACTGAATTCTGAATTGACTACAAAAATGAATTTTGAGTCGACTACTGAATTAGATAGGTAATATATGCTTCTTCAACGAAAATTAAATTTTATAGGACACATTCACGTAAAAATAATTAGACATTTCATTATGTATAGCTACGATGGAGTGAAAAAGGGCTAAATCCTACAAAATATGGATGTGAACTTACTTATTTAAGGTTGGGACACAACTCAAATGCTATTTGTAATATTCCTAGACCAATTATTGTTATTGTTTAGACAAATTTGAGTTACAAAATAGTTTTATTAGTCGAGAGAGTTGGCTATGTATCTTCTGTATTTCGTATTTCATAGAAATATCAATAATTGAGTTCATACTTGGAGCAAATAATATATGATTACTTTATGCCCTGTTGCGATTTTACGTTTCTCTTACTTGATAGATTTACAGCAATGCCAAGGTAAAGTTAGTGGTAGATTTATGTTAATTTGATTTGTATGGTATGAAGATATATTGAGGTTGTTACTGGTTAGTAGACTCAAGAGTAGTATGATAATAAAGATGTGAACATGATTGGTACAGATTCATGGACAGTTACAGATGATGTATAATGCACAAGACATTGAGAACAAATGCAGACATTGAGAACAAATGCAGACATAGTTGCAGTTATCTCTGTGCTAGACACAGATGATCTTTAAGCTAGAGAATCTAAGACAGCACATTGTGAAGTCACATGGATTAAAGTGACGTGCTGAACCTTGGAGTCTTATTAAGAAGATCCAAGAAGTGAGAGCTCAACCAGATCATGTTTCTTGCTCATAAGAACAAGTCTTTCATAAAGCAGAATATCAGCTGAGTGAACCTGCGGTAACAGAGCAAAAAACAAGAAGACATTGTGTAACGCAACAGAGGTAGAAAAGGCTCAGGTTGTAGAAATCACTAGAACGGCTGTATCAGTACATGGACATAGCTGCGTCAAAGTGAAAGCATGTTTCCATTTGACATGCCTGTATCGTGGTGCAGAGCAGTTGTGCGATAGAACAGAGGATTGTGTCAAGTTGACAAAAGAGCACAAGCTATTACCCAAAAGATAAAAGGAAAAGCTTGTGGAAGGTAGGGTTTTGGAGAACTCTAAGAGGTATAAAAGGAAGAGGTTGTAACAAGAAAAAGGTTACACACCTTAGACCTAATATTGAGAGAAGCACACAAGTTGTGTGTGGTGTTATCCCACTAGACAAATAGATAGATTTGTTAGTGGCTTTTGTAGAAGAACCACACTCGTCGGAAAAGACAATGAGTGTTGGTTTCTTTGATTCATCTAAATAAGAGTGGTAGGCACAAGTGTGTGCTAGATACCATTGGCAAATGTGATTTTTGCATTTTTATTCTAGTGAATGATTCTCGACTTGGTCCCGGAAATGTAGGTTATCCGAACTCTGTTAACAAATCCCTTGTGTCGTCTCTTCTCTATACTCTCATCTCTCCTTAAACATCTCATATGCATATCTATCTTATAAGCTTTGTAGATCTAGCAAGCATATCTTACTTCATGATATAATTAATAACTTTCTTTACATGGATTAGATGACCAGCCATGTAAGTGTTTTTTTTTTTTCTTTTTTTTTTCGTGGCTATTTTTTTTTTTCTTGTAATTTCATTTTTTAAATAATTAAAGGTATAATAGGTTTTTAATTATTATAAAATCTATTTCATCAAACATAACTAGAAAAAGTATAGATGGACAAATTAACAAAAAAAAATATCCTTTATTTCTAATTTTTTTTTTTTTTTTTTTTATTGACATCTAGACCAACATGCTTCCACTTGAAAACGTAAGATAAGAAGTTGATTTATAATTAGATCATGTTTTTTTGGCAGTTTTTATAGATGCAAGTCGATCTTACAATATTTTTTAACTAATCTATACTATATAAAAGTCGAGGCTATAAGCTTCTTAGGCCATCCACGTAGGATTTTAAACGACCATTCGCGGTTGGACATCTCATTAATTAACATTTTTACATTATAACATTTTCTATATTACAATATTTATGAAAAGGAAAAAAAACAATATATATGTAAAGAAGAGAAAAATGTCAAATGTTAAAAACAACATAGAGAAATTTTCCTTTCTTAAATGAAAAGAAAAAGGTTAATAGGGAAAAATTCTACTTAACAAAAAAAAGTGAGCAAGAAAGTTTCTAAATACTAAAGTATTAGTTTTATGTATAAATAGTATTCTATAATTTAGAATGGCAAGGTGTTAGCTTTGACTTTGATCATCAAATAGTGATGTCGTCGGTGAGAATGACATGTGCACTATTTGTTTGGAAGAGTTTGACGATGGAACAACCGAACAAGTATCGGAACTTTACCATGTGGACACGAGTTTGACGAAAAGTGTGTTATAGAGTAGTTTGTGAGAATTGATGTCTATCCATTGTGTCGTTTCGAGTTGCCACGTTAAAGATGAAGGATGAGGGGGACCGAAAAGCTTACTAAATTTTGTATAAATGATTTGTGCAAGATCATAGTTTATTTTTATGTAAATCCTTTTCTATGGTTCTATATATGCTCTCAATCTAATTTATAGTATTGGACTCTCATTCAAAAATCATAACTATATTGATCATACTCGATTGTTATATAGACTTAAATAATATAAATGTAAACTTTTGAAACACGACATATGTAAATTAAAAAAATAAAATTTAATTATTGTAATCTTATTATATAAAGTATGGTTTTTAAAGTTAATAACTCATAGGATCATGACACGTGTCAAATCTACCGATTTTAGATTTTGACACGTGTAAAACAAAAATTTCTATAAGAAATATTTATAAAAAAATATTTATAAAAAAGCTAATTATAAAAAAATTGTACAAGAGAAATTTTGAAAATATATATGGAAATAGTTCTAAATATAATCTTGTGTTATTAAAAACATAATATAAAATGATCAAATTGTAAAGTATATGAAAATAATATTATCATTAGTCTCACTAAATTTATTAATATGTCATTAATCACAAAATTAGCAGTGGACATTTTGGTTTAATTTCAAGTTAAATTTTATTCGGTCTAACAATCTAACCACAATTTAGCTTATTATTTATAAATATTTTAAAAAAATGACAACAAATTGAAGCAAAGAAATTTTTTTTGTTGTTGGGATACATAAATAAATTCATATTAGTCTCACTAAATTTGAATAGAGTAATCAATCAAGAGGTAGACGAAAAAAACTCAACAATGTATACAATATATACATGTATATTTGATTATATATATATATATATATATATATTATTGTTCGAACAGCTTTAAATAAAATATTTAAATATGATTGGTAATTTTCATGTTCTAGATTTGACATTCGGATATTAGATTAGTTTAATCACTAAAGATTTGACAACAAATTTACATATTTGAGTCAAAATGAGTGAGTGAAATAATTGGTAAAATTAAAAGATAAATCAATGGTAAAACTGCATATGCACTATTAGAAGAAAATTTTGTTCTTAGCTATTATTAATATCTTGAAGAGGGTTAGATGAAATAAGCGCATGGAAAGAAGAACTAGATTACGTTTTGGTATCTATATTTATAAATATTGTGCTGACTAAGGATTCTTTAAAAGAGATGATTTCACTTTGCTATGTTTGCGGATGAAAAACTGTTGAGATGATACTGAACTTGACATGAAAGTAGAATACCATTTGTGACTCCAAGGTAAAATGTTATCGATTAAGATAATGAAAAGGAATCGAGAAATAAAAAACATAAATAAATGGTAAAACTATGATAAAATAATATATGTGTATGGGATGTTTAAGGGATATATGAGAACCATTAAGATTTAAGATACTATTAATTTGATCTCATTGTCATACAATGAGACAAGATTTCTGATAATAATACATATCGAAACGAAAAAAATAATTTTTCTTCTCTAAGAATTGATAACATATATTGACTTGAACTAACATATTAACTCTACAACGATGATTTCATATAATGTAAAAAAGCATGTCGATGGTTGTAGTATATATCTAAAAAAAACAATATTTAGCTTGGTTAAGCCGTGAGGAAACTAAAATTTTGAAGTTGTTTAATCAAAATGGTTATCTAAATCCAAAGATATATTAGAACAATCGATAAAAACAAACGGAAAAATATCGAAAAATGCGTCAACTTTCAATTTTGGGACGATTAAAGCATGAACTCTCAAAATGTCAGTTTAATCACAATGTTTCTGTTGACTTTTTTGAAAAAGCTAAGTTTTTGTTGACTTGGCCAAATTAGGCATCACGTTAAGTCCCCGTTAGAACGACGCTTACGTTGTTAACTTGTCGTTTATAGTCACCATTCAACCAAAACGACATCGTCTCTCTAAAACAAAAACGTCGTCGTTTTAGTCAGGAACCGTCTCAATCTCTGCTTCTGCTGGGCTCTTCTCTGATGGTATTGACACCACTTCATTCTTCGATGGTATCAACACTGCCTCACTCTCCGACGGGTCTCGAATTGTCTCTGATTCTTCTGGGATCTCAATCGTCTCAGGTTCTCTATCGTTTGCTATGAATTCTTCCTCTACCATTGCCAGCAGCTTCCGCGACCAACGAGCATTCCAATTTCCTCCACGCGTCTTCGCCATCGGGATCAATAAGCAAGAGATCGAGAGAATTTGAGTTTTTTTTTCTAGGGTTAGGGATTTCGATTTGGGTATGAAATCAATTTGGGGGTTTTGACAATCATTCTCTGACTAAAACGACGACATTTTCGTTTTAGAGAGACGATGTAGTTTTGGTTAAACGGTGACTGTAAACGGCAAGTTAACAACGTAAGCGTCGTTCTAACGAAGACTTAATGCGATGCCTAATTTGGCCAAGTCAACGAAAACTTAGCTATTTTCAGAAAATTCAACAGAAACTTAGTGATTAAAGTGACATTTTGAAAGTTCATGCTTTAATCGTCCCAAATTTGAAAATTGACACATTTTTCGACATTTTTCCCAAAAACAAAGCCTCGCGTAGCGGGGGTTAATAACCTAGCTTAAATTAAAAACATATAAATATTTTGATATAACCATATATGTTGACTCACACAAACTTACTCAAAGACAACGCTCCATAGTACTTTTTTAAAGAAAGACCTCAGATCGATACGATACTTAAATACATAATGGGACTGTATGATACTTGATACATAATGGTGGACTTTCACATCTTGAAACACTTGACTTCAAGCGACATATGCTCTGGCGTTCCATCCATTGTTCTCCTTATGATAGCATTGTAGTCTCGACGGGAGCCACGGCTTTTGAAGGCAATGTAGAAGATTGCATTCTCCGCCTTGGCCCACTTCTTCGACTCCACATCTTCTCTGGTTTGTACAATTATCTTTCTCAGCTCAAATGGCTGTGCCCACTGCACTTTTTCCTGCAAGACAAACACCAAGAGATCATTAACCTACACGAGGTTCCCCATCTTAACTTGTTGTTTTTAAGTCAAGTCCTTTTGCCTCACCAGGAAACGTCCACAAGTGGTAAAGAATGCAAGTTCCGCATACAGATGAAGCCATTTCTTGTATTCTTCCACCTCTGATTCTTTCATCTGCAAATCGCACGTCAACAACAACATATCACATCTTTGTGACCATTTTAAGATTTAAAAGGGAGGGAGCTCACCTCGTAGTATTGCAGATTATCACTGGCAGTTAGTGTATCCTCAGGCACCCAATCGGGCATGTCACCTTTGAAGAAATCATCCACGGAAAGTCTGTCAAAGGCCGCACATAGGTCGCCTTCCACCTCCTCTGAGATCGTACATGCATGACCAACAATAGAGATGGAAAATATTAGACACACAAACCAAAAAAATATATAGAGAGAAGTTGGTTTGAGCACCAAAATTACAATTTACCTGGAGTTTGCGGCGGCTTAAACCTGCAGAGGGTTACAATCATAGTCGAGAAACGTTTCTTCTCAACCTCATTATACTGAACCCTTGCTTCGAAGTCGCGAGTGGAATTGACTATCATGGAAGTAACTATTCCGGTATCCTTGGACACATTCCCAAGTGCAGACAAAAATTGAAAGTTTGTCCCTACAAGATCAAAATAAGACGAAGTTCACTTAAAAGCACTACAACTTATAGAAACCAATAATATAGTAGACAGTGGAGAGAAGCAAAATCTCAAGTGCAAAAAAGAGAGAAGAGAGAGAGAGAGAGAGAGAGAGAGAGAGAGAGAGAGAGAGAGAGAGAGAGAGAGAGAGAGAGAGAGAGAGAGAGAGAGAGAGAGAGAGAGAGAGAGAGAGAGAGAGAGAAGAGAGAGGAGAGAGAGAGAGAGAGAGAGAGAGATAGGATAGAGAGAGATAGAGATAGAGAGCGAGAGAGAGAGAGAGAGAGAGAGGGACTAATTTACCTTGTGCAGATTGTAGCAATGAATTCCAACTTTACAAAGTAAGCCCTGATTGAGAGAGTCAAAATCAAAATCGAGGTTACTAATTAAAATAAATAAAAACCACCCCGCCCCAAATAAAAAACAAAAAACTACCAGAGGTGTAATCTTCTCGTATATAGGAATTCTTCGAGATTCCAGTATAAACGATGGTGGAGGAGGCTCAGAAATGGGAAAAAGTGTTATGCAGGGCGACCGTGGTACAAGGTCATCATCGTGGTCAGGAGATGGTGCAGAGGGCAAGTATGTTTGATGTTCCTCCAATACATTCGCCGGATATAAATCCGTCGGTAATAGAGTTGGTGAAAGGAAATAGGGCAAGCCTGTTTCAGAGTCCAGCCGATATATGGCCATGTCTATGAGTCCGTCTTCCGTACGCCTGACGGGCCCATTGAATTGATCACTGAAGACAGACATTCTTGGAAAATCTCACCCAACCCTAAATTCTGATAAAAGGATTAGATTCAATTGAAATCTTAATACCCGAACCCTAAATTTTTTTGAACATCTATGAGGATCAAATTTCAACCGACAGAACCCTAAACCCTAATTTCTCGGAATCTGTCAAACCACAAATCGTTGATTCCAGAGAGAGTTGAAATCAAGGTGGGAATCAACCTCTGAAACTATATCTAACTATCATGTAAGGTAAGAAAAATAACAATGATGAGTTTTATGAGGTCCATTCAGCAGAAAAGATTCGACGAAAGAAAGAGATCCGATGAAGATCGCCAAATTAGTTCGGCCTTTCTGGGTTTCCTAAAGTTTACCCTGTTTTATATAGAGATAATTAGGTGTAAAATAGAATTCCAGGCCCAAATTAAATTTTTCGTTAAACGTTTTAAGACCCAAACAAGATATATATTTCGCCATTAAACTGGGCGACTTTACCCCTACGCACTTTCGGAATTGAGTCTTTATTTATGTCAGACGAATTAATGCTGTGTCATTTTCCAGTCAAATAGCGTGTTATTTTTCCCGACTTCATTATGCTTATGTTACTTTATTATTTTAAAGACGGGACGTTTGGGTGTCCATCTGTCCAACCCTTCATCATCCCGCCTTTTCGCACCCTAACCCTATATCTTCTGACATCTTTATGAGAAAAACTATTCACTTCACCGATAAACTTTCTTCTTTCTTCTCCACTCTTCTTTTTCTAAATCCGTTGTAGCCCTCAATTTCGCATATCTTCTAAAATTGTTTTACTCGGAAGTCCTTGTTTTAGTCGGAACTCCTCCTATCCGTCGTCAGTTTCATCGGGTCGGTGATAGAACATCACTGATTTTGTTTCCCGAAATTGTTTCAGACGTTTAGTTTTTTCGTCTCTCCCTCTGTTTTTTGTTCGTTTTTTTGTGAATTATTGTTAAAAAAATTTCCGTTCTCGCATGCATCTCTCTTCTTGTTCTTTTCACCTTTTTGCTAAACATATTTCGAATCTCTTGACGCGCCGATTTTGTTTTCTCAACCAGATCTATATATATTATTAGACATCCTTTTTCACTGCTCGCTTTTACTGATCTACAAATCTAATTACGTCTTCACCGTTTTTAATATATCTTGGTTTTGTTTTGGAAACTAGTTTGGTTAATATTTTACACGTACGAAATCATCTCAATATATTAAATCTATATTAAGTTTAGACACCTCGCTGATTAACATATTTTGAATCTGATAATTTTCTATTTAAAAGTTTTAGTAAAAAGGAAAATGTATTTAAATTATAATGTTTTAAAATGTAAAAAGATAACTATAAAGAAATTATACCTATATTTCCATAAGAGATTTTGCCATATACTCCCTCCGTTTCAATTTAGTTGTCGTTTTAGGATTAAAATTTTGTTTCATAATAGTTGTCGTTTTACGTTTTCAATGCAAATGTTTGGTGAAAATTCATGTTTTGTCATTAATGTTTTAATGTTTTGACCAATAAAAAAATTATAAAATATATTAATAAAGGGTAAAACAAAAAATTTAATGATTTTCTTAATTTGTGTGCGAAAACCTTAAACGACAACTAAAACGAAACGGAGGGAATAGTAAACAAAAGTTTTGTTTTTAACAACTTAAAAATATAAAAAGAAAAATATATGTATATAAGAAAATAATATGTATATTTTCCACAAAAAGACGAAATTATAAAATTATGCTAAAATTTTTATTAATAAGTTACTAACTGTACAATATTAAGATTTAAATATAGAAAAAAGATTAAAAAAATTATACAATCATTTATTAATCGTATAAGAAAAAGGATAAACAAATAGATTGTTTCATATTTTTCACCAAGGAAACTTATTTCTTCAGAAACACCACCATTGCTTTAACTTTTCTATTGGTAAAACTTTTTTTTTTCTGTCATAAATTATTAAAACGCAATAAACATGAGTGAAAAAGCTTTGGAAACTAACATTTTTCAGAGATGTGAAATTTAAAAATGGCTCTCAACCAAAATGACAAACATACGACAACATATTGTAATTTGGAGAAAAAAACATGAAATAAATACTAATAAAACGCAATCTAAAAATAAAGATTATCAATACTGGAATTCTGAGACGAAAGAGAGACATCAAACGAGAATTTAATAAAATAACATGTCATACTAAAAAAAATAAAAGTAGTATGTGATTGTTATGGAGGTGACGATGGTGGTGGTTGATGGTTACGGAAGTGCTGATAGGGTAATTTAAAAAAATAACATGAATCATGTAAAAATTATTTGCATTCATCATTTGTTGAAAATATACCATGTAATTTATAAAAAAAAAATACACTTTGAATCATTATGGTTTTTTAAAAATAGCATGTGATATTCAGATCCAAGAAATATATGACAGTGGAGAAAAATTAAGAATTATGAACGACGATGGACATAGACTAGAGTTGTTGTCGCAAAGGCTCGGCCCGATGTCGGAGGAGCTAAAGAAGGTGGAGAAATAAGTGCAGTTGGAGAAAGAGGACAAGAGGCGGTAACCGTGGTATTGGTGTTGATGACGGTGGTTCAAGCATGGTGGTGTTGGCGGTAAATATTGACGAAGGTGGTGGGTCAAAATTAGCGAGATTTGGTATTGATGGTGGTGGTGATTGTGATAGTAATGAGATCCAGTTGTCGTGGTGGGTCGGAGTAGTGAGACTCGGTGGTGATGCCCGACGAATGAGAGAAATGGAGATAGAGAAAAAAAAGATATGGTACTGAAGAATCCGACAAGAGTGAGAGAAGGAGAAACAGAAGATCGAGCAAAAATAAGAGAATCTAATGAAAGAAAGAGAATGATTTGAGACTTTCTCGCTGGCGAGAGGAAGGAAAAAAGAGAGAACGAAAAATAAATGGGTAATATGGGGCAAAAATTAACAAAAACCATGTAGCAAATAGACATTGTTTAGTCAAATGTTAATTTTTTTTGTTTTGTTTTAGTCTCAAGTTATTTAGTGTCATATTTTTGTTTCTAAATTGCCCACATTGAAATTATAAGGTGTAACACTCTTCCGATGGATGTAAATAATTTACTAAAATGAAGAAAATAATAATAATAATAATAATTTATTAAAATTCAATGATACAACATATAAACATTTTATGAATATCATAACTTACAATAAACAAAAAATTATATAATTTTATAAATAGGTCAATATTTTTTTTTTTGATAACCCAGTATCCAGACCACACAGTGATCTGACTAGCCCACTGGGCCTAAGCCCGCGTCACAGGGATTTTTAAGCCTCCACTTAAGGGCCCCCTGATAAACTGGTGGTCTGGGGCGCCTGAGCAAGTCCGCAGGTAAATTCCCAGGTGGCCACAGGAGTGAGAGAGCGAAACTGCGTCTGGGGAGGATCGATCCCTGGCCTAGACCAACAGGGCGATCCTTCCAACCAAACGAGAACCACTCGCCCACCACCATGTGGTTAAATAGGTCAATATTTATATCAGAAGATTTAATAATTAGTGTAACATATATAACTACAAATAGTATTTTATATTGCGCATTATGCATAATAAATTTATATTTAAAAATAATTAATATGCTGTATTTTCTAAAATTTAAACATATTTGTTTATACAATTTTAGTTAAGCTTACAAAAATAAAATAAAAAAATTAAGAATGATAATTTCGACCAGCAACCCGTGCGTACGGGTTCATATTTAGTTAATATGAGAGTTATGTGCAATTTACTTAACCAAGGAGTCAATAAGACGAATTAAACCACAACTAGCTAAAGTTTGTAGCTTTATCCTACTTTTGAGTTATTATTATAAAACTAACTTTTAGGTGTAAAACAGCTTTTATACCAGAAAGGACAGAATCAGAACAAAGAAAACGACAGATGTAGGAAACTTTGTGAAAACAAGCGTGGCTTTGGTCATCGAGCTTTATGTCCACAAACCAAACACATTCCAAGAACACTCCAACAAAACTTAAATGTTAAAAAGACAAAAAAATTAAACAAAACCCTAAAAAATTACAAGAAAACCCTACCACGACGGTGAAGTATACGGCGAACCAGACGACGAATTTGATTCACTAGCAGAAGTTTCCACATTTTTTAGTGAAACAGAGCATGCTTTTTCAGGAAGATCCTTCATTGGAGCTAATGTTGGCGTTGAAACTTCGATTATATCGTTATCTTCCTCGCCGGAAGAAGACGATGATGACTCACCGGTTTCAAGCCGTGACGGTGAAGACTCAGGAGTTTCAAATGGTGTGGTTGGTTTACTTGTAGCTTCGTTTGAGTACATTGGGTTTGATATGTAGATGAAGTTATTATCACCAGAATCGTTAACAATGGTTTCTTGAATCAGATCAAGAGAAGCTTGTAAAGATGGTTCATGGTGAAAATGGGTTTTGGTTGGTGTTTGAAGAACACCTGTGTAGAGAGGATTAGGTGAAGAAGAAGAATCAATGTTACATGGTGAAATGTAGTCGTTGCTTGTGGTGGAGATGACTTGGTTTAGAGTTGTGGTGGTTGTTGCGGCGGTGGAGACGGTGGTGATGGGGAGGTTGAGGGAGTTGTGGCGGCGGCGGTGGAGTAAGAGAGAGCAGTAGAGTTCAGCTAGTAGGACTAAGACTAAACTTAAAACCATGACTAAGCTCACTACCATTACCATTGTAGCTGCCATTATCACCTTTGAGGAGCTATTCATCTTTAACTCTCTATGTGGGGATGTGTGAGCAGAACATAGAGGAGGAGGAGAAGAAGAGTGGTATAGTTGTAAGAACTAAGAAACAGCTTTTGTTTATTGGCGGGAAAATTGGTGCTTTTTCAGAGTATGTGGACCTATTGCAGAGAGAGAAGGATTGGATACGAGGAACACGAGGTTCTCTGTTTTACGAGCTTTGAAAATGTTAAAGGTAAAAAGAAAATTTCCACAATTGGGAGGGAGGGTATTATTGTAATTTCGGATAAAGTTGAGTGAGTTAAAGAATCTCAAAGCAAGTAAGTCACTAGCATCTGTGTTGCATATAGCAAGAAGCTTATAAATCAAACTTGATTTGCTTGTGACGAAAGTTATCATTGGTTTTTAGAACAAAACATAGATTTAGGTTTTTTGTTTAACATTAATATAAGAATATCACTCTTCTTGAAATTAAAATCATGTAAAGGGAACAGAAAAGAATCAAACATACATTGAATTATGTACTGATTCTAATTTGTCATAGTGTAAGAAAATAAAGGTAGAGCTCTGTTTTCCTCTTCTTCAACAACACAAATGAATACACTAAAGCTTAGAATGGTGATGTTGTTTTTGAA